GCCAAGCACAGGTCACCAGAGTTCAGTTCTCTGTCTCCACCCAATGCGGCCTTCAGACCGATCCAGACACAGATAGAGCAGGTTAGGGTAGGAGGGAGGATCAAGGCTTTCTTTTCACATGTCATTCCAGGGAGGTTTTTATCAGCCTGCAACCAAGGTCACAGCTGTGGGAGTCCAAGGATAGAACATAATTCTTTTAGGGCAAGCAGCCTTTCTTCCACTTCTTTAAGTCTTAACTGCGCCTCTGGGTTGCGAAAATGCCAATATTCCAGATTCGTTTACCAACTCGCCTCTCCCGTATGAACTTCACCCAGATGTTGCCTTTACTCCTCAYGGTGGGCATGCTGCTGGGCTGTGATCCTAGCCAGAATCACGTCCAGTCTGCGACTTAAATCCCCCATCATTTGAGTCTGTGTATTTGCAGTATGGGAAATTCCATCCAGGGTCACAGACAGCTTTTCACAGGCCCGGACAGCTGTCAGGATCGTTTTCATTTTCCAGTAAACCAGAACTCCTCCACAGCCGATCAGCAGGAATCTGATTACCATAAATCCGAATATACTGTAAACACGTTTTCGACATCTTCAATGGAAAGCGGGGCCAGGCAGATCAGGTTCCACCCCCAGCTCCCGGTCACACGCCCGGCTGCCACGGTTCCATTGGGACAGCTGTGCTCCCCTCGCTCTAATCTCAGAATGAAAAAAAAGTGTCAATTGCATTCAGAGACCAGTTGATCAGATCCATAATTCTTTTGTTATCGAATGATAGAAAGAGGAAATGCTTGATCCGGCAGCAAAGCAGGGAAAAAGGGAAAGGTTCGGGAGAGAGAGCAAAAAGCGTCTGACTCCTCTGAAGGCCAAACAGGWAAAAAAAACCTCTTCAAATACATTAATTAAAAATTACTGTACTCCAAGCAGTCCTTTGCAATCTACTGTCTTGCAGGTTTTCCTTGTTTCCTTGCTTCAACACACCAGATTCAGTGATTCAGTTACCTCTTCAAATTCTGTAGAAGCCTGTTTATCATCCAGTCATGCAAATCAGGTATGTTTGAGAAGGGAAACAGGAAAACATGCAGAATAGTGGCCCTCGAGGCCCAGAGGTCGACACCTGTGCATTGGAGACTGTAAAAGACTTGAGACTAGGGAGGAGGTTCACTGTTCAGCAAGACAACAACCCATTACATGTAAATTCTTTGATTTGAATCACTCCATTGTAGCTTTGGCTGTTTGTTTAGGAATAACTCAGTCAAATCCAGACCTAATGGATAAAATCCATGATGTGGCCATGATTGAAAATCTTTACTTTGGGGGCGGGACTAGCAAAAAATTCTGTCTGTATAAGTGTAAAGCTGGTTGAGACATTTCCTCCTGTTAATAAAAGATTATTTTTTCAGAAGAACTGTCTCAATAGCGCTGCTTGCATCCAACACCAAGCTACCAGTTTTGCACAAATCAAACAAACTTTGTATTGTTTGCTGGAATTATGAAATAAAAGAAGAAGGAAAATCAATCAATAGTTTGTACATAAATCCAGGTACAAGGCTCCTGGTAGTTACCATAGTAACCATTCCTTCATCTTTTTTTTTAAGATCAAGTGGTTTTAGACAAAAGGCTATTTTGGGGGGTGAAAACCAAACACAACTGCAGCACCTCCATCGACAGCTCAGCCTCTACACGATGTGTCATCCCATTGTCTCTCTGCACCACGAAGCCTCGGGGACCGACCCCAGCTTGACCTGTGGCCTGTGCATTATTTGCAAACAGAGCAGGTGGAAAACATTGTTGAGAGGAAAACAGATTCATCCATCCAGCTGCCTGACACAGACTCAACCCTCGTTCCCTACAGAGGCTTTTGTTTGGGTAACTAATTTATCTTTTTTTTTCCCCTTACAGAGACAAAAGAACTGACGACGGTGCTAAAATCAATTACACACTTTAAACTTTAACCAGAGGGTCTTGGARAGAAAATACAGAAGATTATGCAACTGAAATAAGTTGTTTTGCATCATCCACTTGATGGACTTTTATATAAGGTAAATTCATCAAACTCTTATAAACTATTTATACAGTTTAGTTATTTTATTTTACAGAATGACAACACATCACATTTTACTCAAGTTTATTAGATGAAATTTGTTTGATGTATTGRCACTTTAGAAAAAGTCTTGTCAAGCAGTTTTGACTTTGTGTGCTGAGTCAATAAACGTCATAAGGTTTAGAAAAGAATAAAAACAGTAAGAAATCACAATAGAAATATATTGAGGTTGTAGGTTATTCACTTCTCCTGATTGTTTCACAGACATTAAAAAAACGAGACAAATGGAACAAAAACCAAATGATCTTTGTTGTTCTTCCATTTGCAGTGTTAAAATGTCAGTGTTAAACTTTTGGGTGTAAATTTAACACCCCCTAGTGTTATTTTAACACTTTGAGTACACTGACACCCAGTATTGGTGTTAATTCACAGTGTTGATTTCCTCAGTGTTGTCTCAACACTGGACAGTGTTAAAATAAGCTCCACCCACAGTTAAGCCTTATATAACACTCAACACTGTTGTTATATGACACCATGCAGTGTTGAAAGCAGTTTTTCTGCACCTCATGTCAGACAGACCAGTATTTACCCAGCATTCCTTGCYRAGAAATCTTGCAAAAATGAGGTTTTTGCATGTTTTGCATTAAAGAAGTTCATGAGAGTAAAAATTAGTTGTTCTGCTTTGGGCAAAAATCGACATCATGAGTGAGAGGTACTTCCTGGTGTGTGAAGAGTGACTCCATTATACTTTTCTACTAACTACTGACGTGTTAATGCAACACTACAAAGAGTTTGGTATYAACTCTGAGTGTTAAATTTACTCTCTCAAACTGATGGTGTATTGACACCTTGTGGTGCCTGTTAACCTTTCAAACACCACAATTTCCTTTGTTAAAATAATAAACTGGTGATAATTTAACACTTTATTTTAACACAGTTGAAATGTTAATATGACACCCAGTATTGGTGAATATTTAACACTGGCTGGTGTTACTTTTAACGCTGTATTTTAACACTAACACTGTTTTTATGTTAATGTGACAACCAGTGTTGTTGAATATTAAACATTGGTTGGTGTTAAATTAACAAAAAATGGATGTTAAAATTCAACACTTTCACAAATGTGATTTTTAACACCAGAGAGTGCGGACACATATAGACACTTTGTTGCTGTTGAAATTAACACTGTGGGTGTTAAATCAACACTGCAGCCTCTGCAGGTGCACTGAGCTGGAAATACTTTTAAAGCTGAATCAAATGAAAACTGTCAAGTGATCAGGACCAAAGATACCGTTTGCTTTGTCACTGTCTCGCAGCCCACTCTCCATCTCCTTGGTTCTGTCACTGGATTTTTCTCTCCCTGTCTGTCTGTCATATGAACAGATTGTCAATTATTTTTGGTGCATTCTAAGAAAAAGCTTGGTTACTGATCTCCCTGGCTGTGTAATATATTTTCTCTGCAGCAGTCTTTGATGKTTTTTTTTTTATCAATTTGTTTATTTGACGGGCAGTGATAATGTGAACAGAAAAGCTAAAAATGATTTTCTCTCTTCTGTTATAACCCTCCTATCGTTCAGCATGCGTTGTAGTGATGATGCTTGAAGAGTCCCTGCTGGGTATTTTTGTTTACAGTCCATCACTTCTAAGTAAAATATAAAACCACTTTTTTTTTTTAGCTTGAAGTTACTTTTTTGGGCAATGGGTTAAATTTGAATTTTTCAGAGTGTCTAAAATCCAAAAATAAATAAATAAATAAATAAATAAATAAATGAATTTAGAGGGTTGGCTACTTTGTTCATTATGTGTTTTGTTTAAAACTATTCTACATCTTGCTGCAGAAGGTTTAGTGATAATGTCTTTGCTTGTGTCTATGCATACTGTCAGCAAGATATCTCATGAATGCCTAAATTGAATTTAATAAAACTCTCAGAAGGTAATAAGTGAGTGTACATCTTCACCAGTGATTCCCAACCAGGGGTACGCGAGGGGGTACRTGGAAAAATAAGTAAATAAAAATAGGACTGATATGTAGGACCCCATGATTTCCACAATGCAAACGGAATCACGAAATTGACACTAAATGGAATCCTGTATAAAATGCGGACTCTCATGGAATTTGCTCATTTGGGATGTATTTTGGACGCTGCTGCTTCCTGCGCATTACCTGCTTTATTTATTTAATTACTTCTTCAATGTCAAGGCAACACATTCATCTTTATGTTTAATTTGAGTTGAAAAGAATAAAAAAGGCATGAGAATTAAATGTTCTAGGGGGTTAAATAAATAATTTTCATTTAATAATTGGCTGTTGTACATTATAATTTTGTAGAATCCACATTACGTTCAATAGTGGGGGTTAGGAAACACTGATCTACACAACCCAATTCAAGATGGCCGCTACAGGCAACTTAGAAAACCAAAACCTGACAATAACTCAGTAAATTTTACAAATATTGAGCTAAAAGTTGGGGTGGTGGCTGATCATTGACCCCAAAACATACTTTAGGAGCTACACATTGTGTAACATCATTGGTTAAAACTTTTGCATTAACTGTTGGAGTTCATTCTTTTTGATAGCATCTCCGAGATCACTTTGGAGTTCAGTGAAACTTTCAGAAAGTAATTTTTGGCTTTACTTCTATAGCTGCCACAGGTAAACCTTATTCTACACAAAAATAGAAAGTGATTTTTAAAGATACTGAGCTAAAAACAGGTGCGACAGCTGTGTCATTCACACCTAAACACACTTCAAGCACTAACAGGTTGTGTAAAATGACAAAA